AAAAAAAAAAAAAAAAAAAAAAGGCTTTATGATTTTTGCGACCCGGGTCTTGGGTCGCGACCCACATATTGTATGAAAATGGGACATTTGTCTCATTTTGATTGGATAAGTGTATTTTTTGTTTAAAATAAAATAAAAATGATATTAAAATTCGTACTTTTCATTCTGAGATCACACTTGATATATTTTGGAATAAAATTATAATTTTTAAATAAATTAAATAAAAATAAATATTTAGGTTGAGTTGAGTTGGGGATAAAGATTAATTATGTGGGGGAGAGAAAAATATTTTTTTTTAATTATTAGGTTAGATTGAGTTGGGTTGAGGATAAATATAGTCTTAAACAGATGGATGAGCTGCTCGAGAAGTACCCCATTTTGGAGCCAGAAAACGAGACAGTCTCGAATATGATGGACTCCCTGAGGTTCAAATTTAGGGCTACTTGCGCCAGTGAATGCGAAATTGGAGTACGATGGCTACCCGAAAGCTTCTGATGCAGGTGATAGTGAGTTTTGATTGTTGATTGACATAATTTATTTATGAAAGTTTAGATTTTTATGTATATGATTGTTGTTGAGCCGAGCATAAGGTGTTTGATGTTTGTCCTTTTTTTTGGTAGCTAGCCACGATATTTGGAGCTATGTCCCGATTAATCCATTGGTCGAGTCGGGTCGCACACCTATCAGTGGTGAGTGTGTCTTCCAATAAAGGTTTTCTGCATTCATAAGGACTCAAAATCGAGACCTTACTTAAGCGACATCACCAGTTGAGCCTGTTGGTTGATTGTGATTTAGATTATTTCCTTTCCTTAATGGATGTTATTTTTGGCTAAAAAACAAAAAAAGGACTTCCTCAATCTTAGGAGCAGCAATAAAAGAATACATGACAATATGACATGGGGGACGTTGATATAATGGGAAAAATTTAAAATTAGTCCCACAGGTATAATGTGGTTACATTTTTTGTCTCAACGGAATCCAGAAAATATTAATAGTCTTGCAGCTTTTAAAAAATGATCAAAAGTAGGACTTTTTTCAATTTTTCGGCCCGGAATGCCACGTGGCCACATTCATCTGACGTGGCTGAGTACAATGGCAAGGAAAAAAATCAAAACTAGTCCCACAGGTTTTGGGAGATGACATTTTTTGTCCCAAAAGAATCCATAAAATCTTAAATAGTCCCGCCACGTGTGTGCCACGTGGCATTCCGGGCCGGAAAATTGAAAAATGTCCTACTTTTGATTATTTTTCAAAAGCTGCGGGACTATTAATATTTTTTGAATACCGTTGGGACAAAAAATGTCACCCCTCTAGACCTTTGAGACTAGTTTTGAAATTTTCCCGTGATATAATTGAGGAATTAATTGAAGTCTGTATGCATGAGACATTGAGAGACAAAAACATTAGAATACAGTACATATATAGCAATGATTTTTTTTTAAGAGATTACAGAACAGAACAAAATGTAGCTGCTAGCTAGTGATGATGAATGAATCAATTGTCATCATCATCAAAATCGAAATGGAAACTAAAACCATACTCAGCATCTTCAACACTAATTGCGTTAGCCGATGAAAAGAGACGTTCGGCGTAATCGTCGACAAAGGAATGCAGCAACAGGGAGTCGGCAGTGGGCCTTCGATCCGGATCACTCGTGAAACAACACTTGACAAAATCCCTTGCATCCTCTGAAATCATCTCGCGGCCAAGAATTTCCTCCTTTGTCCCTGATCCCAACGCATTCTCCCGCCCCACCAACATCTCGAGCACCATACAACCGAGCGCCCACACATCGCAAGGCTCCTCTTGCTCCCCGAACAGCGCGGCCTCTGGCGACAAATACGCACGCGTACCACTCGCATACGGTACCGTCCCCCTCTCTTTCGAAAGCCCAAAATCACTTATTTTGGCCGTGAAGTAGTCGTCGTCTTGGGCCACGAGCAGAACATTTTCGAGCTTCAAATCGCAGTGCACGTAGCCGAGGCCGTGAATGCGACGGAGACCTCTGAGGATAGACCTCGTGTGGGCCCTCACCTCCATTTCGGGAAGCCCGCCTCCTCCCGCGTATTTCTGAATCCTGTCGAGCAGAGACCCGCCGGATGCATACTCCAACAGCAGATAAGAAACCAACCGGCCGCCGCCCTCGTAATCCCAGGTCCTCTGGTAGCCGAGGCACCGAATCACGTGCGGACAGTCGTAGAGACGCACCAAAATGTCGAACTCATTGCCGAGTGTTTCTGAAAGAGATGTCTTTTCGGTTTTGACGGCTATGAGGGACGACCTGAGAGTGGCCTTGTAAACACGGGCGTAGGTCCCTTCTCCCAACAAAGGGCCCTGAATCCAATCAACCACAGGATTGTAGGCACCAGCAGCACAAACCGCCATGATAGATAGATAGATAGATGATGATCAGCTCACCGTACGTATATTTTTCAAGCCTTGTGTTTGTTTACTGTATGAATATTAATTAATCATCTTTTTCCTTAACACTGTTTATATTTATAGTAAATGTCTTCTAATTTCCTCTAATCCTAATCCTAATGGAAAGGCTTTTCTGTTCTTTTCCTAACCCTCAAGGTTTAGTGAATATAACTAAATATTTTCTCCAATTCAATCCGGTTTTTTCTCTTTGCTTTGCCCCCAAAATACACAATAAG